TACTTCTCTCAGGGGTTAAATGTTCCTTATATTAACTCTCAGAAACAAAATAATATTCTCAGGATCAAAACCTTGTTTTTGCCCAAGTTAGTATCAGAATAAATCAGAGATTTAATTTGTATGGTGAGTTGCTTAGTGAGAAAACATCTACCAATTCAGACTGACAAGAAGTCTTCAGATTAGTTTTAGAGAGTTAACTCTTGGGCACTGAGAAGTAAAAGGATGTGGCCAAAGTCACAAATTCATGATGTATCAGACACAGGTCTTGAACCTAGGTTATCTTGACTCTATCTTTTCTCTATCCACTATAGCGCACTTCCTAATGGTCATCATAGGCAATATTAATCCCGATATTCTCCTTCCCCTCTTTCATAAGCCCCCTATGTTGCTGTATTCCATGGATATACTCAGTTAGCTATGATATTGATTCATTCAGGGCACTCTGAATGGGGCTTAGAATTTTTGTACTCAATGTCTGGAGTTAGGTAGTATAGCATTGATGGTACTTTTTATTAATTTGGCTTTGAAATTCAAATAGAGAATAGTTTGAATTATAAAGAGTAAGAAAAGATAAAGAAAGGATCTATGTTCAGAGTTTTACTAGCTCACTAATGATTCTATCAGATTTCAAAAGAAAAACAAGATCCAAGACTGCTATTGGGCATCTCCTTGTAATAGTTACAAGCTTAAAAGGAAATAGTGTTAGTGGATTGGCACAGTGGATGGAAATCATAACTCACAGTACAGAACCAATGTCCTAAGTTGTCCTTAAGAGGCATTGTGGTATTTGAGGTGCCATATTTAACTGAAAACATAATAATGACATAGATAGCCTAACAACTAGCTGTCCCTCAAAACTTCTACCATCTATTGTTAGATCTCAACACCACATTGATCTTTGGCATAATACAAATTCCCATAATCATGAAAAGCATGTTTCTTAAACTTGAGAACAAACCAAGGCAAGCTAAATTATAACATGTCCTTGGCAAAAAGTTTTAAAGTTAGTAATGTTTTAATTAAAAAATTAAATGGACTTGCAGTGGTGTTATTGTTATTATTGACACTATTGCCAACAATTTAGCTTGGTAAGTCCATTGGCCACAAAAACCAACAGTAAAAAGTTATTTTCTGTTAACTGACCCTACTCCTCAGCAAATTTGAACTAATGCAGAAAGTGTCTTTTTAATATGTATTTTCATGTGCCATAAAGTCAACAAAAATGTGAAGTTGTTCATTTCTATATACAATGAAAGGTGTATTCAGTCTGTTATTATAGAACAGATGAGTAAGTGAAAATGACGTAAATGGATAAAGTACATTTCCCGAGGTCTGTTGAGATTCACTGTAGGGATTTTCATGGTGCTGATTACCAATGGAAAGTAACCAAAGTCATGTAGACTTAGGAATCAGTAAGTCATAATTACTCAGTATTCATGAAAGGACAGAGCCACTTCTGTGTAAGGGTTCTATATTCCCTGTTAGAGAGTTAAGTAGTACACAGATGACATGATTATGCCACAGACCAAAGATCAATTGCAAGATATGTTTTGTCAACCTAGAAAGCAACAAAACATAGCTTCAATAAATTCACAGACTGATTCATAACTAAATATACATTTTAGATATTATATAAATGTTTACATTAAGATGACAGAATTGAACTCTGAGAATTACTTATGACTAGATAAGAAAGTTGATTTCATCTGGACTTTTTGAAAGATAAGTTTTCATTTGTATTTGAAAACCACTGCAGATTACTATGAAGAAACACTCCAGAATACTAACAGAGTACACTGTATTACTTAAATTATTTTTTAATGCTTGAATTCCTTTAACTTTATTCTTGCCCACTTGATTTAACAAAGAGAGCCAAGGGCAAGCTTCAGACAAGTTGTAGTAAGCCAAAAGTGGATCGGGTAACTTGGTTTGATAGAGTAAAGGCAATTTGTTCAACACATGGGAGCAGTGCTTCATCATGTTAATAGATGCTCTGTAAGCTGAATTGTTACTAACAGATAAGCTATTAATTTAAAAAAGAAATTGAATCTATCTCATGGGATTTGCAGAAGGAATAGGTTCTCTTACATATTCTCTTTCGTATGCTCTTTTTAGCCAGAGGCAGAGTCTTAATTTTCAAATATTCCAAATGTATAATTAAAGTTACAGTTTCACCTTGAATTTAAAATATTAAATCTTGAACAGACCTGGGCAGGCTGCTGCTTTGGCAAAAAGAGAAATGTGTATTGAATTCCTGTGATTTTTCATTCAGCTGTTATGTCTGCCATCTGGAGGGCTACACACTTCCTTCTCCAAATCCAGTACACCTACTTCTTCCTTCCTGGCATCAGCATGGCCCTACTGTTCAGATCCCAACTTCCTTCACACAGTATTGTTGAGGCCAGCAACTTGTAGGTGATTTTCCTTTTTTCCAGTGTCAAGAACTTTATTTTACCCTGGATTTGGTACTACATACTTCCTGTTGTTCATTTTTGTGACTGAAATACTTCTTCCTATTGCATGAAGTCCTTTTAGAATAAAATGTTGACACATTTACTCTAGTCTGTCTCTTTATATTCATGCCCCATTTACTGAAATATAGCACATTTTAAAATACATGAAGTTAGTGATTTTTTTTTTTTTCAGTTTGAGAACCTCCTCCAAGGTAACAACTACTTAGTGGCTAAGACTTAGGGAGTTGCCTGAGATTCAGTTAAGTGATAAGTGATTTGTTCATGAACACACAGAGTGTTAAGAGGCAGAATTTGTATTCAAATCTTCCTGGCTCTAAGTCTCTATCCATCAGGTCATGCTACCTCATTTAATAGAACAGAATTTAGATATTAAGGGATTTATGAATTGGTGTAGGTTCACTTTAAGAAATAGCACCTTTAATGCTTAGATAATTTGGGGATCTCATGCTTCCACTTTTCTTTCACTTTCTTCTCCATTGCTGCTATCAACTTAACTGTCCACTTTCTATTGCTTATTCTACCAGAATGTAAGTTCCTTGAGGGCAGGAATGGCATCTTGTCTCAGTCTTATTTTCACTCACAAAAATGACTATCTCCTCCAGAACTTAGCACACAGTACGTGCTTAGTAACATTTGACATTTTTGTCTATTGTAGCTTGGGGAATTGTGAAATTAGCTATGGTTTTAAAGAAAATATCAATTTATCCCACTCAAGAAAGTTTTTTATATGTCAGCAGCCACTAATTAGGATATTATCTATCAATTGAATAAACGAACCATTAAGATAGGAACAAAATAGTTCACTTAGACACAATCTATTAATTTGCTGTTTCTCATCAGATCTTATTTCATTGTGAAAGTTACATTAGTCTCTGGTATATATTTTTTGTTGTTGTTGTTGAGTCAAGTCTGAATCTTCATGACCCTGTGGACCATAGCATAGCAGGCCCTTCTATCCTCCACTTTCTCCCAAAGTCTGTCCAAGCTCACATTTGTTTCTTCTATGACACTATCTGTCTCAAAAGCTGTCCCTTTTTTCTTTTACCTTCAATCTTTCCCAACATCAGGGTCTTTTCCAATGAATCCTGGCTATTATGTAGCCAATGTGTTTAAGCTTCAGCTTCAGTATTTGACCTTCCAGTGAATAGCCTGAATTAAGTTCTTTAAGTATTAACTAATTTGACCTCCTTGCTATCCAAGAGACTCTCCAAAGTCTTCTCCACCACCACAATTTGAAGGTGTCAATTCTGCAGCACTTGGCTTTCCTTATAGTCCAACTCACAGCCATCCATTGCTACTGGAAAAATCATAGCTTTAACTATATGTACCTTTGTCAGCATGGTGATGTCTCTGCTTTTAAGTATACTCTCCAAATTAATCATAGCCTTTCTTTCAAGAAGAAAGTATATTTTAATTTCTTTTTTTCTACTCATTTTAAAAAATTTAGTATTTTATTTCCTCCAATTGCATGTAAAAGTAATTTTAACACTCTTTTTTTTAAATTATGAGTTCCAGATTCTCTCCCTCTTCTGCCCCCTCAAGAGGGCAAACAATTTGATATAGGTTATACATGTGTAGCCATGCAAAACGTATGTCCATATTAGTAATGGTGTGAAAGAAAACACAGACCAAACAAACAAGAGTAATAAAGAAAGCAAAAAAGAAAAAAAAGTTCAATTTGCATTTAAACTCCATTAGTACTTTCTCTGGAGATAGCATTTATTATCAGAAGCCTTCAGAAGCGTCTTGGATCAGCGTATTGCTGAGAATAGTTAAGTCATTCACAGTTGATCATCATACAATATTCCTGTTACTATGTGCAATGTTCTCCTGGTTCTGCTCATCTCACTTTGCATCAGTTCATGTAAGTCTTTCCAGGTTTTTCTGAGACCATCCTGTTCATCATTTCTTAGAGAACAATGGTATTCCATCACAATCATATTCCATGACTTGTTCAGCCATATCCCAGTTGATGGGCATCCCCTCAATTTCCAATTCTTTGCCACTACAAAAATAGCTACTTTAAATATTTTTGTACATGTGGGTCCTTTTCCCTTTTACTTTGTATCTCTTTGGGATAGAGACCTAGTAGTGGCATTGCTGGGTCAAAGTGTATGAATGGTTTTATAGCATTTTGGACATAGTTCAAAATTGCTCTACAGAATGGTTGAAACAGTTCACAACTCCACCAACAGTGCATTAGTGTCTTAATTTTTCCCACATCTGCATCATTTGTCATTTTTCTTTTCTGTAATATTAGCCAATCTGATATGTGTGGAGTGGTACCTCAGAGTTGTTTTAATTTGCATTTCTCTAGTCAATTGTGATTTAGAGCATTTTTTCATATGACTATAGATAGCATTGATTTCTTCATCTGAAAACTGCCTGTTCATATCCTACCATTTATCAATTGGAGAATGACTTGTATTCTTATAAATTTGACTCAGTTCTCTATATATTTGAGAAATGAGGCCTTTATCAGAGAAATTTGATGTAAATTTTTCAGTTATGATTACTATCTTTCCCCAAAATGTGGAACATTTCACAAATTTTCATGTCATACTTGCACATGGGCCAAGCTAATCTCTGCATCATTCCAATTTTAATGTATGTGCTGCTGAAGCAAGCACAGTGTCTTTTGATTTCATGGCTGAAGTTGCCATCTACATTGATCTTCGAGCCCAAGAATATGAAATCTGACACTGGTTCCATTTCTTTTCCTTCTATTATCAGGAAATGATAGGAATAGTTGCCAAGATTTTAGTGTATGTGTGTGTGTGTGTGTGTGTGTGTGTGTGTGTTAAGCTTCAAGTCAGCTTTTATACTTTCCTCTTTTACCCTCATCAATAGGCTTCTTAATTCTTCTCTCTGCCATCAGAGCGGTATCATCTGCCTATCTGAGATTATTAAACATTTTTTCCCAGCAGCCTTAAGTCTAGCTTTTGATTTACCCAGCCTGGTATTTAGCATCATAGACTCTCCATATAAGTTAAATAAATAAGGTAACAATGTACAGCCTTGTTATACCCCTTTTCCAATCTTAAAACAATCAGTTGTTTCATGTTTGGTTCTCACTGTTGTTTCTTAAACTGCAAACAGGTCCCTCGAGAGACAAATCAGATGATCTGGCACTCCCATCTCTTTGAAAGACTTGTCACATTTGTTGCGATCCAAACACTCAAAGGCTTTAGTGTTGTCAATGAAGCAGATTTTTTTTTTCTGGAACTCTCTCACTTTCTCTATAATCCAGAGAATATTGGCAATTTGGTCTCTAGTTCCTCTACCTCTTTGAAAGCCAGACTGCTCTTCTGGTAATCTCATTTTACATATTGCTAAAACCTAGCTTGCAGCATCTTAAGCTGTAAAATTAGTGCAATTGTTCATAATTTGAACACTCTCTAACTTTGCCTTTCTTTAGGATTGGGTCATAAAATGATCTTTTCTATTCCATCGTAAGCCCTTCAGAATTGTCTTGGATCAGTGTATTGCTGTTTTCCAAATGAGTGAGTATTTTACAATTTTACAAGCATATTGAATGCTGAACTTTAACAGCATCATCTTTGAGGATTTTAAATAGCTTAGCTGGAATTCTGTTATCTCCACTAACAATTCTAATGTGAAAGCTCAAATTCATTGGCTCAATTTGAACTATGCACTGGCATATAAACCAAGTTAAAATGCCCCAGCTGCAATTGTCTCATTCCTAAAAGTTGTGTCCAACTTTTAACAACAATTTAGACAAATGTTTTTTCTCATATTTTCCCTCTAACTGACCCATATTGGTGTTCCAAATGTCAGGTCCATTTACAAATATGACAAATAATGATAGCATTATGTGTTATAAAAACCACTGGTTTGGGAGTCAAAACATCTGTTCTGGCTCTGACATATATTAGCTTTATAACTTATGTACTTAACATCTTTGAGCCTCAGTTTCCTCATCTGTAAGATGGAAATAATAATTTTAGTACCTACCCAACAAGGATGATATAAAGAAATCATTTAAGAAATTAAAAGATTATGGAAATGTGAGCTATTGGTTTATTCAAATTAAGGTACAGAGGTCATAACCTCTGTATCACATTCATGATCTCCATACTAGATGCAGTCTCTTGTACTCAGGTAGCAAATTTATGATATAAATTGATTATGTAAAAGATCTCCTATGTCCCTGTACAAAACTCAATCCATTACCTTACTTCTTAATTTCTGTTCATGTATTTATCATCTTTCCCAGCCATAAAGCCTCATAACCTAGGAGTCTCCCTTTTCCCTCCCTCTTCATATCCAGTTGGTCCCTATGTTCATCTGATACTAATTCTGAAAAGTTGTTCACTTCTTTATTCTTTTCCATTCACACTGATAATACATTCTGTCAGAACCTTATTACCTCTCATTAGGCTGTTGTTGTTCAGTTGTTTCATTTGTTTCCAACTCTTTGTGACTCGCATTTGATATTTTCTTGACAAAGATAATAGAATGGTTTGCCATTTCCTTCTCTAGCTCACTTTATAGATGAGGAAACTGAAGTAAACAGGATGAAGTGACTTGCCCAGAGTCACATGGCTAGTAAGTGTCTGAGGCCAGATTTGATGAATCTTCCTGACTCCAGGCTTTGGGCTCTAACCACTGTACCACCTGGCTGCCCTTTAGGCTGTTATACTAAGGCTTTATCTGGCCTCCCTGATTCTAGTCTCTTCTTCCACACCATTCCAGGTTACACTTTGCTTTTGGAAGAAACCTTCTTAAAGCAAACCTTTGAATATATATGATATACTATGCAGTATGCCAAAATTTAATTACAAAATACTTAAACTGACATATATTCAATTTGCATCTTCTATACTGTAACTTCAACCTATATTTTGGTCATCTGTAATGACTTTCTTTCATGCATCCTTTAATTTTGTTATTGTTTTTGTTTGTAATATTCTGGCTTCTCTCCCTTCTACTCATCCTTCAATCTTTACTCAAACACTCTCTTCTCTCTGCATCTTTTCCTGATTTCTTCAAGAAGTAATCTCATTCTCCTCTGTACTCCCACAGTAGTTTGTACATGTCTTGTTTCACTTGTTACATTATACATTATAATACAATTACTTGAATAAATGCCATTGTCCTAGTGAATTGATGCTCCTTAACAGTAGCAGTGAGTACATATCACTGAATCATGTTTGTTTCTCACTGTTGCTTCTTAACCTGCATATGAGTCCCTCAAGAGACAAATCAGATGATCTGGTACTCCCATCTCTTTGAAAGACTTGTCACATTGTGATCCAAAACTCAAAGGCTTTAGTGTTGTCAATGAAGTAGGGTTTTTTTTTTTTCTGGTTGGTTGAGTCACCTCTTTAATTGAGAATACTGGTAAAGATCCATAGACATTTCAGGGTCCACTTTATCTGAACCCTGGGAGAATGGCAGCCAGTTAAATGGCTTTGCAGTACAGTTTGAATGCTTGCAAGTTCTAGGATCTGATCCCTCGAAAACTGCTGGCACGGTGAGGTCCTTTGGTAAGGATAAAATTAACTATTTAAAGCTGTCCCTCAATAACCAGGGCCTAAAATCAGACACCCTGAATGGGACTCCTTTAATCAATGGCTGTTAGAAGCCATTAAGAGGGAAACAGAATCTAGGCTTTCATTGTTCCAAGGAAACATTATTTTAAAAAATCCTCAAAATTGAAAAGAAGGCAGCTGAATCTAAAATATTTATCCTCCAGGAATGATTAGGCCAATTGGAATCTCATAAGAAAGAAAATGAAACTAAAATAGAGTCTCTCAGAGATATGAAAGATCTGAGGAGCTCAAGAATTTCTATATTAGCAACGCAAAGACAGACACAGACACAGACACAGACATACATACACACACGCGCGCGCGCACACACACACACACACACACACACAGGTCCCAGAATTTTATCTAAAAAAAGACTTTCTTGTGTACATACTAAATTATTTTTAAGGACACTGCAGTCCTTTGTCTAACTTTGTAGAGTGTTAACTGTTTGTATTTGGTGTGTGTGTGTGTGTGTGTGACTGGATAGAACTAGCAACACAAAGTGAGAGTATAATCCTGTCTATTATCAGCCCTATATTTATTGTTATGTGTTTCTATGTGCTTTTCAAATACCTGCTTCAGCAAAAAGCCTAGCAGGATTGAGTTTTAAACCCACCTGTCTTGTTAGCAGAGGCTTAAACCTCTAGGGAAGGAAAAGGAAGAAGACTGCCAGTAAGAACCTCTGTGTCCTTTTTATCCTATTGTTTAATTCAAACAAGCCTTTTCCCACAGCCACTACCACACACTTTTGAGTGTTTTCTGTTTGTTCATTTGCTGTCTCACAGCTGTCAGTGTGTTTGTGTATTTTTCTCCCCCTGTGTTTGTTGGTTCTCAGAGCCTGTGTCAGTGTAATTGTGCACAAGGCTTAGAAGGAAAACTTTACCTGCAAATCTGTGTCTTGCTAACCACTTTGGAAAGCTTTAAATTTTCCAAAAAGATCCTCCTTTTCCCTTTACTTTTCTGAACTGTGGCCAGGTTAGTAATGTAAGGATTGGATTAACATTCTTTAGAGTTGTTTTAAGGGAGATAAGAGCACCCCCTCCCAGAATAACTGGTTTATGGTTTTACAGCTAGAAGAGAAATGTAATTTTGCTGATAAGAGAAAAGTAAGCTTATCTAATTGTATACTAGAGATTTTTACAAATGAAAGTGAAGTAGGAATCAATTTAGGAATAACTTTTTGTTGTGTGTTTTGAACTTAGAAATTTTGCTGTAAATTATATGAGACTCCTACTCATTTTTATAATAGGTTCAGATATATTATTATTACAGCCAAGGAGGAAGGAGATATGGTCTCCAGCCCCCCATTAGCTTATGAAGTAGGGAAATTTATTATGTGTCCTGTACCTTTAATTCTTAAAGGGCAGACCACCCACATCTCAATTGAAATTGAGGTTAATTGATAGCCTCCCATCCACACTAAAGAGGGATTTTTGGCCACTCAAGAAACCAAATTAGAAATTAAACTCTAAGATTGAAGTCTAGGTCAGCTTCAGAATTCTTACATATAATAGAAACTAAGAATAGCAAAAATAGCATAGCCAAAGGGATTCCTTTAAATGATCCAGAGAAAATAGAAAATGGAAAGGTAACTAGGTTATCTAAAAACTTCTTCCCTTTGCTTAATCAGGACGTGCTATTTATCAGATGATACAAACATTTCTCTCCCTCTTATCTCTCCACCTAGAGAAGTCAAGGAGAGGGTGAGAATGCTACATACGTATATAAAAGTTCTAAACTATATTCAAGGCTAGACCCCTTTAGTTCACAAGATGCTCATATTTTTGGGGTCTGAGAGGTTCAGAGACCACTCAAAGTCCAGAGTACAGGACATGGTCATCTGGAATGAATTCACAGACTCAAGCATTCTTTAAGTCAAGGTGGCAAGGATTTATTGTTATGCTATACAGTGGGAAAGGATTCTCAAGGAATCTGCTATGGTGGGCAGAGCTCCTTAAGGAACTTGCAACCTAACAGGAATGATTCTAATCTTATATAGGAAAAGCAGTGGATTATGCGCCAAGTATGCTAATTAGGTGATAATATAACAACCTTGGTCACAGGCATCACGC